CAACCGCATCTGGGTTCCTATCAGCTCGAGACTGGTTTTCAATTTCACCACTTATTTTTCTTATTCAAGGCGATACAGGCCAGTCCTGACCGACCCGCCTACGTACCATTTCATGAAATCCGTTACACAATGCCATATACAGCTGACATTTATTTCGGCCATGTTGATGTCGGACCATATTCCATTCTGTACCGCCACATGCAGGCCAGTCCTCCCTGTATTTTTCTGATGCTATTTTTCTGTGGGTTTTTTTTTCTCCTGTTAAATTACTACAATAATTTTTTAAATTTTGCTTTGGAGTATTTTTTTTCACCCCTCGTTTTTTCGTTTTCATTTTGCTTAACGGACTTCTAAGCTCAAAAACTATGTATTGCACTTTGTACAGATTTTGCTTACCTCGTCTTAAATTCGCATGTAAATTTATTTTTACTTGCTTTGATGGGACCCCGACGGGTCTTTAATAAAAATAATTTAATTTAATTTAATTTTAATTTAATTTAGTTTAATTGCCGTTAACACTCACACAGTGTGACCCTGTTTTTATATATCTACGCAACCCATTTTTTACAATGACCGATAACGAACCTCAAACAGACTCTCTCGACATCAATACTTTCTCCTTCAAACTACCCCCTTTTACACCGAGCAACCCCCGGGTTTAGTTTCGTCAAATTGAAGCGGTTTTCTCAACGGGCCGCATTACAAGCGAAGGTACCCGCTACTCTAATGTGGTGCAAAGTCTCCCATTTGACGTTGCTGTCGATGTTGACGACCTCCTTAACCCTATTCCTTCCAACGACCCGTACACTCAGTTAAAAAATGCTGTCATCCAGAGAGTGGCCAAGTCGGCCAATCGGTTGCTACGGGAGTTATTCACACAGGTAGAACTGGGAGATCAAACACCTTCACAGCTTATGCGCCACATGCGCTCATTGCTGACTGGTCGTCATATGGAGTACGATATCTTTCGACAAATCTGGTTAGATAAGTTGCCGGTCCCCATGCAGCAGGTGTTGTCCATGCTGGACACTAGCATCTCCCTAGACAAAGTGAGCAGTCATGCTGACAGAATCAGCGAATGTTACCCGGTCGGTGCGACATGCGCCAATATTCAACCGACCTCGGTGCCCGACAGATCGGATAGAGTAACCATCTTTCGTCCAGAAGTCACTCCTCCACTGGAACGTGACACTTGTGTGGAGCGGTCGGCCTGTCGTTGCTCATCACGCAGAGCCACCACGCCACCACGCCATCAGATCCATCAAGACCACCTAACAGTCCCCACCGCAGCGATTATGACAATCTCAAAGAAACTGTACGTCTTTTGTGCACACAAGTAAGCACCATGTGCACTGTTATAAATAGCTTACAGGCGACCAGAAACCGGTCAGCCTCGCGCCGACGTTCTAAATCTCGGGAGTGCCCTTCTACAACTCTGCGCTGGTATCAGCGGGTTTACGGTTCGAAAGCACGCAAGTGCATGCCTCCCTGCACATATCTGCAGGCCTCACCACAGGGAAACGACCGCGCCAGCCAGTAACGGCGACATTTACCGCTGGCCAGTCACGACCTAGTCGCCTCTTTTATATCAGTGACAAGACGAGCGGCCTCCGTTTCCTTGTCCATACTGGTGCCGAGATTTGTGTGATTCCGCCTCCAAGGCGCCACCATCTCAAGCCTTCGAAGTTTTCATTGCAGGCTGCCAATGGCACGACTATCAACACTTATGGTCAACGATCGCTCACACTTGACATCGGTCTTCGAAGACGTTTCCAGTGGGTCTTTGTGCAGGCTGACGTCAAATCTCCCATTATTGGGGCAGATTTCTTGACTCATGTTGGCCTTGCAGTCGACCTCAAACATTGCAAACTTATCGATAACACAACTACACTCTTTACCGTAGGGATTGTTGCTTCTGAGCCCTCGGTTAGCATCCAATTGACCGTACCATGTTCACTCTTCGCTGACATTTTGAAGGACTACCCGTCCCTCGCTAGGCCCTGTAAGTTCACCGGGGAAGTTCAGCATACGGTTAAACATCACATCATCACCACAGGGCAACCTGTTTACGCTCATCCTCGCCGTCTTCACCCCGAAAAACTTCGGATAGCAAGGAACGAATTTGAGCATATGATGAACCTGGGAATTATTCGTCCTTCCTCCAGCCCATGGGCTTCTGCCCTCCACATGGTGCCCAAGAAATCCACTGATGATTAGAGACCAAGCGGAGACTATCGCGCTCTCAACAGAGCCGCTGTCCCCGACCGATACCCTTTCCCCATATGCATGATTTTTCTCACACGCTAGCCGGAAAAACAATTTTTTTCCAAAATAGACCTCTTGAGGGCATATCACCAAATTCCGGTCGAGGAAGAAGACATCCCCAAGACCACCGTCACAACGCCTTTCTGTTTGTTCGAATTCCTTCGCATGCCGTTTGGTTTGCGCAACGCGGCCCAATCAAGTCAACGTTTCATCGATGAGATCTTGCGAGGTCTCACATTCACTTATGTCTACATTGACGACATACTCGTCGCAAGTTCTTCGGCAGAGGAACATGCCTCGCACTTGCGCCAAATATTCGACGGTTTCCAGCAACATAGTCTGCAGTTAAACGTCCACAAACGTATCTTTGGCGTCTCTTCCCTAGATTTCCTTGGTCACCACGTCGACCAGCATGGAATCACACCGCTGCTTGAGAAGGTGCAGAGCATCCTGTCACTCCATGTCCCCAAGACCCTAACTCAGCTGAGACGACCGCCAACCTAAACTTAGTATTGAAGGTCACGCAATAAATGTGCCTGGGGTTATTAAGGATTTGGGCGTATCATACTCCAAGAGTCTCAATCTCTCGGAGCACTGTGCCTTGATAGTCTCCAAAGCACGTAGAACGACCGGGTTTATCCTCCGAAATTTTAAAACTAGGGACATTAGAATGCGCCGTTTCAACATGAACGTTAGACCTGGTCTGGAATACTGTTCGTCTTCATTTAGCTTCATGCGTGCTACTTAGCGGAAGAAAATAGAATCCGTTCAACACTTTTTTACCAAGAGAATTTTAACCCCAGAACACCGACATTTGTCTTACCAAGAACGTTGCCGGCTTACAGGCCTCGATCCTTTATGGTTCCGTAGATTACAAAAGGGACTATTTTTGCTATTTAAACTCTTATGTAATCACACATTTAACCAGCACACCTCTTTAAGACATCATATCCACCCACGACGTAACAGTCACCGTGAGGTCTTCTTATTTCTGCCTCTGGCACGTACTGTTAAATATCGTCGGTTCTTTTCTGTAAATGCAGTTGCTATTTGGAATAAACTACCCATGAGTGTGAAAACTCTGCAAAATTATCCTTTATTTAACAGAACTATTACTCGATTTTTGCATTCAGAAAAGCTCCCACAAATTTTGGGTGCTGAATCTGCTGATCGACTGTACCGTAGCGATGGCGTTTGCGGTCTCTGAACACTATGGCCGGTCTCACCAGCTGTTCCTCAACGCCTCTACTTTGACTATCCCCAACTTCATGAAAGGAATTTGACGTCCGATAATCTCCGATACCGTGCAACCTCCCCCCTTCTTGACGGTCGATATTCTCCCACCGCCGGCAGTTTTTTCTCCTGAGCCCTCCAAACCACAAAATCCACCATCAACTATATTTTTATCCCTTAAGCTCAGGAGTTTTTTTCACTGCTGGTCGGATTTGTGTTTAATCGCTTCCCTTGACAATGCCTGTAAACTGGCATTAAATAAAAATTTATCTATTTATTTATTTAGGTCTTTTCAACTATTACCGACGTTTTAACCCTCGCTGTGCGGCGACCCTAGCTCCCTTAACTGACCTTCTAAAGTCTAAAGCAAAGCCCATCGAACTTCCTCCAGCAGCAAACTCAACCTTTGAGACAGCTAAGAAAGCTCTTGCTGATGCCACTTTGCTTCACCATCTCAGCTCCGATCCCCACGCACAACGGATCTTGACCACCGCTGCTTCCAATAGTGCTGTTGGCGCAGTCCTACATGAACAGGTGAATAACCGGTTGCAGCCATTGGCTTTCTTTTCACAGAAGCTACAACCGGCGCAGACTCGCTACAGTACTTTCTCTCGCGAACTCCTCGCCATCTACTTGGCTATTCGTCATTTTCGACACCTCTTAGAGGGCAGAGATTTTTCGGTTCACGCCGACCACAAACCTCTCACTTACGCCCTCAAAACCAAGCCAGATAGGGACTCGCCCAGGGAAGTTCGTCATCTGGACTATATATCGCAGTTTACTGCAGATATCCGTTACGTCCGAGGCAGCGACAACGTCGTTGCTGATGCATTATCCCGTCCGGACATTAACACACTTACATCCGATTTCGACCTGGCGAAGCTTGCAGACCTGCAATCAGGCGACAAGACCATTGACGACCTGCGTTCAACTACTACTCTGCAACTTCGAGATGCACCACTTCCCGTATCACCAGGCACGATTTTATGCGACTGGTCCACAGGCACTCCTCGACCTGTTGTTCCACTATCCTTCCGCAAGACAGTGTTTAAGCATTTCCATTCCCTGTCACATCCTGGCAACCGCGCTTCGCGTAAACTAATCGCTGCTCGCTTTATCTGGCCGACGATGAACTCTGACATCGCTCTTGGGACTAAATAGTGTTAAGCCTGCCAGAAGAATAAAGTACACCGTCACACATTTTCTCCACCAAGTACATTTGCCGTTCTACATGTTCGATTCCACCACGTCCACTTGGATTTAGTTGGTCCGTTACCCCCTTCACGCGGGTGCACGCATATTCTGACAGCGGCTGACCGTTTGACACGATGACCGATTGCCATTCCCATCTCGGATACCTCGGCAGAAAATATCGCCATGGTTTTTCTGACGCACTGGATTTCAACTTTTGGTGTTCCAGCCACCCTTACTACTGACCGCGGGAGTCAATTCCAATCTAGCCTCTTCCGTGAGTTCACTAACTTGCTCGGGTGTGCGCACATCACTACCATGGCATATCACCCTGCCTCCAACGGCCTCAAGGAGCGTCTACACCGTTAAATGAAATCTGCACTGATGTCCCAAACATAATCAGTTTCTTGGAGTAACAACCTTCCTCTTGCGCAATTGGGCATCCGATCTTCTGTCAAGGAGGATATCCAATGCACTGTCGCCTAACTTGTGTACGGTACACCCCTCCGTCTTCACGGCGAATTTGTGCAGTCTTCCACGACGAACACCAACATCCCGAGCACCTTCGTACAGCAGTTGAAACAACGCATGGCTCAACTGCGCCCAACCCCCACTCGTCTGACATCGAAACGTGTGTTTGTGCATGAGGACCTTAAATCTCCTCCATTTGTTTTTGTCCGGCATGATGCGGTTCGCAAGTCTCTTTGTTCCCCATATGATGGCCCGTATAAGGTTCTTCAGCGGATGGACAAGTATTACGTCATTCAGAAGGTTGACAAAACTGACACAGTCTCCATCGACAGACTGAAGCCACCCTATGTTGAGTGCATCCCGCCGTCAGTTGTGCCACCGACTTCCTCTGTACCGTCATCACCTGTCCACCCGTTTCGGTCCCCTCGACTCAACCACCACACTCGACCACCCCACCCACCCATCCTGATTCTTCCTCTACTCTACCAAGCACCTCATCTCGTTCTGGTAGACATATCCATTTTCCTGCCAAACTCAAAGACTTTTTGGTGTAAATTTTTGCATTTTTTATCGAGCGTTTTTTTGTATAACAAATGCTCTGGTGGGGGTGTTGTGTAGGTTTACTCACATTTTCGATTTTTCACTCTAAACTTTCTTGTACACCTCATCATTTCTGTACTATTATTTAAATTAACTAAAATACACACACTTGGTTTCCACTCGTGAACAAGCGTGAGTTTTGTGTTCGTCTGCTGCTTGGTGTCATTGTTTCGTTGATTGCACTTATTTGCGTCAACCGTTTTTAGTCAATCGACAGGAAACTCTTATATCTTCTAAATCAGTTGCTCAGATCTTCCGTCTGAGATCATCTGCTTAGTCCCACCAAGTCATTCCGCCCTTGCTTGGTGCTAGCCATGCCTTCATTACTGAGGAGTCAGGCAAAGCAGAAATTTTAAATTCGTTCTTTGCCAAGCATTTCATCATTGAAACTGATCCGATCCCTTTAATTCCTTCGTTGTCTGATGATTCTCTTAGCTTCATTAATTTTTCTCCTGAATGT